TTTAATCTATAATCCTGCTGTCGTTCAGCAGAAGAGTATTTATGGAGGTTGTTGGACTGTTGACGACCCGGGAGGAGGATAGTGTTCTATCGACGGTTCCAGTAGTGTGTGCGGGTCGCTCGGTGGTGTACTATTAGGTACGCGTTGTTGTTCGTTTCTCACCTCTTTTGTCAAAAGAGGGTTGAAATGACAAGACCTGTCAGGAGTTTTATGACGTGAGATTTAGGTAGTAGTTGAGGTCGGCGGCGCGATAGTGGGTGTGTTGATGCGAAGGAAGAATGGAACTTAAGCACATTGGAATTGATATTATGGATGGATGGAAGGTTCAGGTTGTTTTATCTAGGGGAGTAGGAAGTGGTGGTATGAAGACGTGAAGGAAGTACGTGACTCTTCCTAGAAGACGTCACAGATGACCCATCGCAGTATGACCCAACTTTCCGACACCCGCGGCTGATATTAGCGCCACCTCGATTTACGACTTTGTTGTTATCTCCGTGTTTTGGACTATATAAGCCTGATGTTTTTTGCTGCTCAGTTGAGCAACATACCTCATGTGTGTGAGTTAACCCATATCCTTTGTATGTGATTTAACTCTGCTCCTTCTTGCAAGAATAAATTAGTTAACTGATCATTGATTCTCAACCTGGTGTCGAGTGATATTTTTCTAACAGATTCAAATATCAAAATATGTATAAAAGTGAAATCTGAAAATAAATATTTTATTCAAAAAGAATTGCTGAACTGAATCAAAATAATATTCAACCTGAAAAATGATTTCAAATACTTATTTTTATTTTGAATACATCATAGTATTTTTCAAAGTTCAGGATAAAAACTTCAACTTTCAAATAAATTGCATTTTTTTGAATGATCAAAACGTATGACCCTGAAATAGCTCCATAGAGGAGCACATGGTTAGGTTCATTCAATATCATATTTTGAACACATGTGTTTTAAACGTGAGGGTTTGGATACTAATGAGGTTTGAGTTTTTGTTCGCAGTTTTCAGGGCACTTAATCTAATGTCACATGATGTATCAAAAGTAAGATCAGCTTTGTATGTTTACTTATAGCCTTCTAAACTACTAATATCTAAAATCCTGCAAATCTAGTTAATCCTAGCAGGTACAAAACAAGTACCACAACAGATTATAAAAGAAAATAACATTGAGTCCCTACCGTGCCCTACACTGCTCCCACAGTATCAATGAAAACAAGAATATTATCTTATATCTTAACACTGACGTTGTTATCCACCGTACAGTAGTTAACGGCTCTTCAAGGCTTTTATGATGACATTACGTCAGAAGTTTTCAAACTCTGTTTCCGTCTTTTTGCTTTGATTGTTATCTATATATATAGTTAGGCATCTCCTGCTGTCTCTCCGTGTCTTTGTGTTATTACTGCATGCTGTTCCAGCTAATATAAGAGGCTCAATAATCCCACAGTTATGACAGAGAGATCAATGCTTTCATTATTTGCTCCGAGGGGAGAGCTTTCTCTTGTTTCCTCTGTGCTGGTTCTCCTCCAGTCATCTACTTTGAATGATGATGCTTTATCTGTTTCCTTTTTCTGTTCTGATCCATGTATTCTTTAATGTTCCCTCATGTCTCTTTACTCTCCTTCATATCATGTCTGCATTTCTTTCTCACTCTTTGACATCTTCTTTTTCTCTTTCTTGGTGTCCTTTTTTAAAATATCTTCTCTGTCTTCTTCCTCTGCTGTAGACCAGTCTGGGTCAGTGGGTTCAGGTCAACCTTTAGTCAATGCCATGCGGACTGACTCTGCTCTGATTGGAGGTACTGAACCTTTTCTCCATATTTTGCTGCAACAGGAACCGGTTTTACCTTGTTTTATTGAAATCCCTATCCTTGTTCTTTGGTACTTTATTGACCAGGCTCATGCACAGGATGTTAGAGGGGCAAGCTGGCGATTTGCATTACTTTTAAATAAATAAATGGAATTTACTTCTTTTGTGACAGATTGAAGGGATATTAAAATGTATGTGCTCAAACCATCCCATGTCCCGGGTTGGTTTAAACACTGGTGTTAAAGGGGCCCTATTATGCTAATGTTCAGGGTTCATAATTGTATTCTGTGTCTCTACTGTGACATGCTTTCATGCTTTAATGTTCAAAAAGGTCTTTATTTTAGACTTTGCTGACCATTTACATTCACAGAAACACACACTACAGGAAAAGGAAACCCCAAAAAGATTAATAGAATTGCTTTCATTAATTATACATGGAAAGGAATTAAGTTTAGTAAATTCTTCTCACATGTTGACTACTGTAGCCACACTCTTACCTAGCCCTCTGACAAAGATGCACTTCCTCTCCTCCAAATTGTTGTCTTACCACCTTCTCCATAAAGACATCAGGCACAATGATTCAGCGATAAGAAGATGCAGATATTGTACGGCTAAGATGCTAAAAAAATTCAAATATAATATAATCAAGGCACACAATCATACAAAGCAAGGTCTATCTGTGCTCTGAAGTCAGTGATTCATAATGATTTTAATCTATCAAATATTGATATTCAACGATTCGTTTGATGCACATTTTCTGTAGTTAGAAAGACTCAAAGTCACACCTAGACTTTCCTTCACTGTGAACACATGCTGAGCTGTAAGAAAGAGTAAAGTGACGAGCAAGAGTCCATTCAAAACTATTTAAAACTGTGTTGCTCTGCCAGCACGGATTGATTCAAAGTGAGCACAGAAAAGGTTTGATCTATCATCGTGTAGATATTAAAAGGTGATACTCAGAGAAAAGCCATTTGAAAGTGTCCATTGAACTGACCTGACTGTGTCTGCTCACCTAATTAAACCAATGCAGGGATGACTTGCTGATGGGAAAACTACACTGCTGTTATCTTAAAAGAAAGAAAAATGGTCTCTTTATAAAGTAATATCGTATTAAATTGATTTCCGTCATATTTTCAAATTCCAATTAAATGAAACCTGCTCTCATGTTCCCAATTGTGCTCAACGGAGCAGAATAACCTGAAACATTGAAAAATATAAAAAATGATGTTTAATGCACTCAAGAGTGAGATTAGCAAGATATTCAAGGCATTAGGAAGTTAAATGGCAGTGGAAGGGGGGGGGGGATATGCAGACGTTTTGCTCTAATTTTGAGGTAGTTTCAAAAGTAAAGGCTTTATTGTCCTATTTACAATATCAACAGCGTAGTTGGTGGGGCCCTGTTCTGCTCATTTCCAGGTTCTCATTTGCATTCTGTTCCTCAGCTGTGACGTGTCTCTGTGCTTTAATGTTCAAAAAGCTCTTTATTTATCTCATACTGCCTGCGGCACCTCTTTTCACTCCTTCTGGAGGGAACTTTGGGATTTTAACCTTTGCAGACCATTGACATGCACAGAAACCTATACAACACACTACAGGAGAGGGAAAACCCTAAAAAGCATAACAGGGCCACTAAGTACCTTGCTCTTCTAACAGTGCAGCATACGATATATTGAAGACCAAAAGGAAGTGCATAAATAATGCAAGAAAATTGTGCAAATGACACAATGGAGTGAGCACAGACACTATGAGGCTGGACCCGTTCGAGTCTGCCGTGGTTGCATTCCATTTCAAAGAGCTGTTTGACGCTCGGCGTAACCTTGTCGCACTGCCACTCCGACATCACAGAGCTTGAGGAATAATCACAGGGTCTGTACAGCAAAGCGAATGTTGGAGTCACAAACGATAGCTGAGGATTCTGAGTAGTGTAGTGTCTTCAGAAACTCACTCAATTAATAAGGATAAACTGATGTTTTTTAGTGGATGAGTAATGCAGATATCACTGTGTGATCATTTGACAGTGAGGGGATTACTTCCGTTTTTATAATGAAAACTTCGAGACCGGAAAAACAGTTTTTACCCCGTGAGGGTTGACGCCAACTTTACATGGACGCTGCCGACAATAGAAATGAATAGGGGAAAGACGTAGTACACGTTCTCCTGGCGAGACCTCAAATCCTCCTTGTGATATCTATCAAACTATAGATCCTACACATCCATTGGACGTGAATTCTAAAAGTATAATATACACTTCTCGCTAGGGATCTAATCAAAAAGCATTTTAATGGCCAAACTATTTTAGGATTTTCCAGAGAGGGTTATTTGTGAATAAACGACCCTCCGGAGCGTTTGCAATCAACGGGAGCATGTTGTTTCTTACACGACCACTAGAGGTGCTACACTTTAAAACGTGACTCTGGGTCGTAATAAGCTGAGGCTGTGAAAAATAGAGTAGGATCAAACATACAACTTATTCTGATCATAACTCAGATGTGTTGCTCAAACAAATGAATGTGAAGACACTTTACAGAGCTCAGGATTTAAACAATCTAATGGTCTGTGGGATAAAACTTAAAGGGGAATTTAAAAAGTGAATAGTGTGATATCTCAGTTTATTACATCTTAAAATGTCCTCTTCCCTGCAGGGGTCATAGCGGTGGTGATCTTCGTGGTTGTGACCGTCCTGGCGATAACGGCCAGATTCCTCTACCGGAGAAAAGAGACGTACCGGAACCAGGAAGTGAAGGGAGTCAAACAGGAAGACAGCCAGGACTTCCATTTCAACAACCAGACGGACCCCCAGAACGTCTCCTCTGAAAACCCAAAGGAGTATTTCATCTGAGCGACGGCCTGATGACCCGGGACTCTGCTCTGCACTCAGAGACGCTCAGAGACTCCACTGGAAGGCAGAAAAAAGGAACAATTCCCACAGATGTTTCTCTCTCTGTACATATTGTAGAGACTGATACACACAGGCAACAGTGCTGGACTTAATATGTGTTTATACTCTTGTAAATATTCAAAAATCTAAATGTGAAAGTGATGGCCAATTAATGTCCTTTCGAAAAGGTTGCACATGATCGAATATATATATAATTTACAGTATTTAAACCCAACTTTATTTCCGTGAATCAGGGCGTCGTGGCTGATGCACGTTTCTATTAGGATAAGAAATGGATGTTAGCTTGATTGGAAAGGTTTGACTCGTAATGAGGAAGTTAAGGAGATTGCTTCTGTGGTTTTAATGTCTTGTTGTGGTGCATCGGGAGCGAAATGGCATGCCTGCAGCAGCCTGCAAACACCCACCAAACACCGGGACGTTTTTTGATGATTTTCTAACCCCATTCAGCGCCTGAATTAAAAAAAGATTTTCCTCCAGCAACATCTTGCTATCACAGATTTTGGTGTTAACAAGTGGCGCCTTCAAAGTCAAAATGGCACTCTGCAGTCTGGCAGCTACTTGTCGAGAGATTTGAAGACTTTTTAAGCAGGAGGAATTATTTTCCACTTTATGTTTTCACTCGTTCTCTTAAACTCATTTTCTTTCCCTTTTAACAACATTTCCCATTGAAGAAACAGCATGGAAGAGAGGTACATCCATAATGAATTGTAGTTGTACAGGTTGTTTTAAAGTGTTCTCTTCCTTGCTGTGTTCCGCCTGCTGGGAGCGTCCTCTCCCCGCTCTCTAGATGCCTCTGAAGCTTTTAACGCTGACAGACTCTATAGCTCTGTGGTGCTCCGTCACCTCTTTCCCTGCACACAGAGACAGCTAATGTGTTTCTGAGATGCTAATCTGCTGCGCTCTGACAGCTGGATTGTGACTAGATAATCCAATAGAAAGTGTCAGGCTGAACACGATGAAAACAGCCTGATATTTACACTTCAAAATGGAGCAAACCCCCCCATGTGTTAATTCAACTCGTGTGTAAAGAGAGACACTGATAGAGGGAGGACGCGGAGCAGCTGCTCATCAAACTCACACCTCTCTCTGAGACCCCAAAGCACAGATGGGATTTTAACGACAGAAGTTGCCCAAACTTCAAAGTGCATTATTCATCTCTTTGTGTTTCTCTTTTGTTCCACCTCACAACAGCTGAGGCCACACATTGTTGTCTTGATCCCAGAGGTGAGGAAGCAGCGATGTCCTTCCTCCTGCAGCAGCACACTGCACTGCAGCAATTTAGAGAGGAGAGGAAGTCCACAGGTAACCTTGACACTCAGATAATCCTGCACACTGAGCACCTGGAGCGCACTGCAACAGAAACACAGCACAGATAAAGAGTTTATTAAGATCCAAGGTGGAAAATGTAGACTTTTAAGACAGAATTAACTGAGAACAACTTTAGAGTGATGTGTGCAAACATGAAAATAAACATGTTATGTATAGTCACAGTGAACTATCAAAAAAACGAACAATGTTAAGCACCAAAATACATTACATTCACAGTCAGATTTATACATTAAAACCTCCTTATTAGCTCATGCATCTTAGCATTTTAAATACCTCCATTTTAAAAGAGAAAGACATAAGTTATGCAACAATTCCTCCAGATTTTTTTATTAAATATGTTTGCTTTGGAGGCTTGGTGACATTAGGACTAATCACTAATCACATACTGTAATTGATAAGCTAAACGCTAACTCTCCATTTCTATACTCTCCGTCATTTCATCCCCTTTTCATTTTGTTCTCCTGATCGTACAACATTTAATAATAATATATAGTTGACATGGGAAACTGTCATCTAAAAAGCTGTTTTTGTAAACGAACTCTCATAAGTCTGTAAACCATTTCTCGTTGGAGCAGTTTCAGCAAAGGTTAAATCAAACTGGAGGGAAACAGAGATAAGAAAGGACAGCTTTTTAGATTTCAGATTCCCCAACTCTCCCTCCGAGCTGCTACTGGTCAGCAAAGCAAACATTTCAAAATCCATCAAAGTTAACTCGTTTTTATCCAAAGGGACTTACATACTCAATACTGTGTCTCAGGGACACAACGACATGCTGACTGCAGTGGGGTTTGAACCTGTGCCCCCCTGATCCCAACACCAACACACTAGCCACTGCGCCACAGCCTCCCGAAAAACAGTCAACTTCCACAATATTAGTGAATCCTCCAGACCTGGTCCTTTGACTGGGGATGAATTCATTTTGCCTTGAATCTTTGAGTCGATGAGGCTGGTGACATTTCATTTCCGTCCTCAAATCCAACAAAAGAAATAACAAGGAATTACCCATTCTAACAAATAGTGTCTCTGCGTCCAACACTTGATTCATGTACCTTAATTATCTGTTCCATAAAGCTCAAGTATTGTATATAAACTATTTTAAAAACACGATGTTCCTTTATTCAGGCTTCAGTTTGCTGCTTTAAACACAACGTGGAGATACATTCATTCCTGAACAGTGTACATCTGTTGGAGTAACGTTTGCTTAAAACAACTGTGATTTTGGGGGGAAACAAGTGAGCTTTCTTTTCAATTAGAATATATATTTGTGACTTTCTTTATATCTAAAGTATTTGGGTTCAAGGCAACAAAAAGGGACGTGTTATTTGGTCTTTCCATGATATTGTATGACTACAGAATAACAGCCTAACCTTGTGTTGTTTTTTCAGTGCCTCCTCTCTCACAGTGCGCTGGTTGACGTGTGTTCGGTGTAACTGTAGTGTTGGTGAATAACAGTGATGTTAAATATTAAATATCCAGATTCCACCCACACTCTGACTGTTTCAACAAAGTCCTGTTTGATGAAAATAAATAAATGATGCTTTTCTAAAAGAGAACTTCAGGTTGTTGTGCTTTCCAGATGACTCACCCGAGGAATCCCACGTGCATTGTGCCTGTGATCCAGCTTGTGGTCACATCGACATGGCAAGGATGGAGAGATGACGTGCCAGCAGCCGAGTGAAAAGAAATCCCCCGTGTGTTGTTATTAATTTCATCCCTTTTGTTTCTTTGTGAAATGAAGATGACACATATCAACCAGGACAATTTAGATATGTTTACGTCTTTTATATTTGCTCCTTTCAAATCCACAGTGTGGGAGGATTCACATCCGTCAGCGCTGACACCTTTGATGGCTGTTAGCACTCTGCAGAGCGCAGATGAGGGAAATATGTAAAGCTGTGAGGCTGCAGGAGCACAGGAAGTGACTCTCTGTGAAAAGACACTTAGCCCGTTTAAACACTCAAGACGCCCCGAGGTGATTCAACGGATTCCTGTTGATTCTTTTCTTTGATCAGAGACGAGATGTGAAACTGATATCTTCAGCGCGTTCAGAAACTCAGTGCAGAAGGGCCAGCTAAAGGGGATATTCAGTCTCTTCAGAGTACAGTCAATGCGGTTGAGCAGGATGATAAATGCCACTGGGACTCGCTCCCTTTTAGAAAACTCAAACATATCCTTCTAGGTTAACGCCTGGAAAACCTTTGATGTGCTGAAGCCACACATTTCCTCTGCTTTGGCCGTCCTGCAGCTCACAGGATTATATGCAGCTCACTACTTTGTATTTCTATCTTGAGTCACAGCGTGGTGGAAGTTGCACGAAACATGACGCTGCACCTTTTAAAACTACATTTAAGTGTTCAAATGTGCAGCCAGGGCTCCTCGCTATTTCATGCTGCTTGACAGTGGCATCTCTTACTGTCAGAAAAAAAAACTTTTCGCTTTGCGACTATTTTTAAATCCAGAATTCTTTGTACTGATGTAAATGATTGTAGTTATTTTGGATAGTGTTATGCTAACAGAGGAGAAGTTTCCATGCAGATATTTACGTTCATCTCTTTTTATCCCATGTGCCATGTTGTGTTTTCTTGAAGGGAAAATTATCAGCTTATGTTTATGCACATTTTCTAGTGTCTGGTTGAGCCACGTTCAACAACTTAGTTTAACATGCTAACATTTGCTAATTAGCGCTACACACATGTTGCACCTCGTCATTAAGCTAGGCAGGCAGCAGTTTACTACTGTACAGAAGCATTTTTTGTTATTTCTGTTTCAATTCTCTTAAAATCCCGACAGCAATCAATACATCGAATGCTCTGAACAAAAAACAAAACAAATGGTTGCTTTTGCAGCACTGCAAATATCCATTATCCAAATCAGACCTGATTTATAAAGCAGTTTTAATAAACAATAGGTATTACAAAGTGCTTCATTCTGCAGGCACCAAATATTGTATTTTTGTTTTTTCATTCATATAAAAAACGCTTTATTTAAGGCATGTTTATTTGTTTTGTTTTACTTATACTGTAGAGCAGGGGTGTCAAACTCAATTTCATCACGGGCCACCTCAGCATTATGGTTGCACTCAAAGGGCCGGTTGTAACTTGAAGACTATATAAAAATACATATATAAATATTTAATATAAAATAATGTATGCATTGGATTATTATTGGATCGGTACGTCTGAAAGCAGAAGTCTAGAGCAAATAATTGCAAGTCTCTTCAGTGAGCATTTGACAAAATGATTTAAAAAGAAAAGCCAAATTCTGGAAAAACAAAAAAAAAGAAGTGACATTTTGAAAAAAATATCTAATTCTGAGAAAAAGTGCATATTTTGAAGAAATGTCAAATTCTGAGAAAAAAGTCAAATTTGAGATGCATTGTGGGACATGTAGTTTATGGGCAACGTGCTTCTGTGAAGTAGCATGTAACCGTATAATAAACATATTATTGTGGGGCCATAGAAAATGAAGTCGCGGGCCCGATTTGGCCCCCGGGCCTTGAGTTTGACACCCCTGCTGTAAAGAAACACGTTTGTATTTCGTGAAAATAACATGTTTGGGCAAACCAACTGGATAAATAAAAAGTAGAAAATCAATAATATTTTGTATCTAATGTTGGCACTGAATATAAATAACCCCCAAATAATCGGGACTTATCTTCTGAGGAACATGAACACAATTAAATGGCAATACATGTTGGAGTTGTTGAGTTGTACTTAGTCTCATGTTTGCTTTCAAAAGAAGCTCAAAAAAGGTGCTGACACTGTAGATCTTCCCAAAATATTCTAAGCAGGGCAAACAGAAGCATGGACCCTTCAGGACTGAGAGATGTGAGACCCGGCAGATAAAACACGGAGTCAGTAACCTTCTTGTTTTCATCCAGCTTGTCTACTGTTTATCACCAGGGAGTGAATACACAACACTGTCCATTTGTTTTACAGCGGTGTTACAGCCGGCGCTGGATAGAAGTGTTTCACCCCGATGCAGCTGGCAGATGCTGAATCACCACAGAAACACTCCTCCAATGAATAATTCATCCTCTACTGGAGCCTCTTTGGGCCCCGCTGAGATCAGAGACCTTCATCCTCTCCCTCCATCACTTCACTAGATTGACTTGCTTCTCCTTCGTCCTCCTCTTGGCATGTTGCCCATTTTAATGACTCGCATCCCGTAATTATTCAACGCAGCTCCTCCTCAGACATGTAAAGAAAAGCTGTAATTACTGCAGCATCCAGCCGTGTCTGTTTAGATCACAGAGGTGAGAGTGGGACCTGCATGAAGACGAGAGCAGCTGATCGTGCAGGAAAGGTCTGCTGTGGTGATGATGATGATGATGATGATGATGAAAGATATGTTGTGATTTTAACCAGACACTTTGAGTATATAAATGTGCATGATGTGGTGATCATGCATAGTCAGTTGTGTTTGCAGGACATCAGCATCAAACAGATATATATATATGCTCACATAATTAACTTATAGGAGGATATCCATGTTTTGTTGTCGCTACACAACTTCTGCTAAGAGTTCAAGTTTGTCATGATTATAAGAAATTGCAAATTGTTTATAAGATATCCGATAGTCCCATGAGTTTCTGTTGAACTCTAATACATGTTTGTATTCACCAGTTGGTCAAACGGATGACTGATGTCCATCTCCCTTTGCTGCTGAAGGTCACGTGGTGTGATTGAGAGCTCCAGAGAAGCTCATAAATGGACCTTAAGGTGAGATGTTTCTTTTATTCACCCTGAGGAAACTCTCTGACATGTCTCTGGGGAAAACTGCTTATTTCTCAAAAACAAAATATTAAGCATTCTTTACATATTATATTTAAATGTTGGCAACTCGGTAGTATTGAGACTAACAGTATTTCTCTCCTTAGATATAACAGTCGTCCTCTGAAAGTCTATTTATTTGACTTGAGTTTAGTCCATGATGCCCTTCTGTTGGCTTCTGTCTGTAGAGATATCAGAGCATCTCGTCTCATCACACATTAGCAGAGTTATATAAAAGTGCCTTTCTAGTCTGACTGTACGTGTGTTGTTATTGCGCTCTGCTGGAGACGACAGATCTCTTCTCTCAGATCAGAGCTGATGGTAATTATCCCGCCCACCAAGCGTTTATAATCTGAGCGGCTGTGGAGTCTGAATTCAATCAGATGAGTAATTATAGAGTTATCCCACCTACAGCATGTAAGAGAGAGTCGGTCGACCATCTCCTCGTTCACAGATCTGATGAACACACTTCATTTCATTCACGTGTCTTCTTGTTAATTGAGGAAATATCTGAAACAGACGCCTCGGCTGAACCGCTCATTACAATCAATTAACGTGATGTGTTATCTTTTCCACTGAAAGACAGGACTGCAGCATCTTAGAATACTCATCAGTCTGTTCTTAAATTGATCAAATCTCTACATATTTGAGTTTCGATTTTAACTGTTTCCAACGGGCAATACCTATTTTGATGTAATTTCAACTGTTGAGTCCTTGTGTGAAAATACCTGTGCACATTCATTCCTTGGATCACAGTTTGTGCTTTTATTAAAATCATAACCTCAGGGCTGGCAACCCTGTGCCGTTATTTGCTGGTTTTCTGCAGCGTGGTGCTGTGTAGTGATGCTCAGGCAACTCATGAGGTGCCAGGTCACATTCAGCTGATAATGAAACAGCAGCACAGAGCAGAGGCTGCGAATACATTTAATTTAACTCTAGGTGTTGGCAGAGACAGGAACGTACCTTTTTTACTT